TTCTGGCGTCTCTGATAGTAACCCACCTTTGTCACGGAGGTATACTTGTGTCGTCACAGAAAGTCCATGTATTGTGTCGTGTACTTTGTTCTAAAATTATTGTGACATAATCCTTTGCGACGACACAAATGGAGACAATGTTACTTCAAACGTGGTGACCATGTGTTTGTTTGAAAATAAACAGACCGTTACCAACTAGCTCTGGTTGTTCTGGAACATCTCTGTTCTGCCCACCAAACAATGCGTTACTAGAACGTTCAAAGCGACGATGTGTATTGTTCATCACAGTTCATTGCGGTAACAAAACACAGGGTGGAAAACAAGCCAGCAGAAAGCCGTTGAGCAGTCCTTGGTGCTGAACGCGTCATATTTTCACGCGAATTCGAACGTGCTACTTACTGATCAGGTGCGCTTCGGCACATATAATTGTGCCACACGAATAGCCCTCCATTTTTCTTTCTCTCGCAAGATGTGTTTGGGGGAACATCTGGAACATGTTTGTCTCCAATCGAATTTGCGGACTACTGAACTTGAATCGGCTCTTATGACTTGGTACAAGTACATGTATATCATTTTGACGTTATGGCCTTCTTTCTTCATTAATCATGTTCAACAATGTGCGGTTAACCGCTGAGGGAAGTATTTTTCTATTCAAACCACCTGCATTGTTCATTCGGGGGACAAAACCTAAAGACAAAAAGTAGGCAGCCATGGAACTGTCCTTGGTGCTGAACACGACACATGTAGTTGTGTCACACAAATGGTAGTCGATATTTTCACACTCGATATTTCTTTCTTTTTTTCTTCTCTCTTGCAATTGAAAAAAGTGTTGTTTATTTCTGGACACATTTGTCGCCAATCGAATTTTGCGGACTCCCGAACTTGAACTTAAATCAGCTCTTATGACTTGTTACGATTATATCATTTCATAGACATAATTTATGGCCTTCTCTCTTTAAAGCATTAATCGTATGTTCAAAAAAGGGCGGTACATCCCTGAGGAAAATCTTTCCTATTCGAACCACGTACAGTATATAATAAATACACAAAATCATGAAAACGACAAACATGCTGCCAGAGCCTTTGTCTTATTTTTTACAATATACACTCTACACCATGTATGTTACATCCACTGTTAGGTGTGCTTCTATCACTAACAGTGATCCAATCTGTAAAACATCAGTTTTCTTCACTGATAAAAAAGTGCAAGAAGTTAAATTAAACCCCAGCTGTGTGACATCTTCCACTGTCTATGAAGACATTTTGGAGTACATAAACAATAACCCTATAAGGGGTTATCTATGATATTTGCTGGCACTGCAAATCCAGCAATGATGTGCTACTAACACCCGTCTATTCCAGGGTTTTCCCAGGGTCCATCATTTGATGGAATCTTGTTCTTTTTGTTATGGCCATAACACAAATTATGGCCAATCAGCCATATTGACAAAGTTGCGAGTCTAAGATGAAAAAAGGTTAGAATTCTTTCAAATCCACCCAGAAGTTAGCATGGGTCTGTTGGGATGGTAGAATAATTCTGCAACTGGGAAAACCCTGCCATAGACCCCAAATCTTTTAGAAAAAAACTTTCAAAAAGGTTCATCCAAGTAATCACCTGTATTGGTGCAACAGAGGCAGTCCTAAAGGAACAAACCAGGCAGTATTTACAAACAAATGTTCAAATTAGGGCTTATAATACCCATTTAACACAGCTTGTACAAATTCACTGTATTTTGGCCAAACACCTCAAAGTTTGATCAAATCTCACATTTTTTAATGTAAAATTCCCTGTCCACACATCTCTGGATTTACAATTATCACATTTGCATATAATATTTCATATAATAATCTACTGCAAAAAATGTCTTACTCTACGACTTTTAGCTTTCTCCAAATAAGAGGAAAAAATTTACATACAATATTTTGTCTTTTTTCGTTGGTGAGATGGCACTGGTGGATACATGTAAGATGGCATGACTACAGGGATGTCTGTACATTCTACTGATATATACGTACATAACATATATTCTGTTTTGTGAGTGCTTCACAGTGTATTCACATGATCTATGTTCAGAGTTTTCTTACAAACGTGCATATAAGCAATTAATGGCACCACAGTTGCTTTGAACAAGCCAATGTTGTCAAGATTCACATACTGCTAGTTTGCTGACATGTGTAGGTACTGTATTTTTGTTCACAACAACCAAGACACACTTGTTACACAAGGTAAACCATACACACACTGCAAACAGTGAAGTCACATCGTTAGACCTTTGTCATATAATATGTACATGTGTATCAAAGGTTGATGAAAAGGGTATGTTTCATATTTATGAATCAAAAATACTGAGGCTTGCTGCTCTTCATGTTGAGAGTGTTTTTACGATATGGCAGTTTCAATCTGAAATTCATTGGAACTTTCCTACATCTAAAGCCATACGAATCTATTTTATTGGTTCTCGGAGTTAGAAAAAATTGTGGTGAACTGGAAGATCAACCAGAAAACCCAGTCTGAGGGAAAAACTGTACCTTGGTTCAAAAATTTCTGGAACAAAAAATAATTAGATTCACGTTAACCTCACTGTGCTATGTTTTTATGCCGTACTTACATGTAGATTAAGATATCTCAAGCTTTGGAAATAAATTATGGTGGCCTTAAGAGAATTGATGGAAGAATTTTCCTGCTGTTCTGTGGTGTAACAACTTGTACAAACAAAACTTCAACCTTTCCGCTCCCAAACCTACCTTTTAGTACCACATCTGTATTTAAGACTAAGATGCCAGGAAGATGTTTAATGATTTCACAGTCAATTATTATTTGTGAAAAACTTTCTTTACAACATAGGACACATCCTCATTACCATTTTTTAAGCTTTGTCCAGTGGAATATTAAGAAACCACCGGTACTGGTAGTGTAGTGAAAGCTGCCGTATCATACCAATGGATTAGGCAAATCCTGTTGATTAGAGTAGTAACACCACTTCAACATCTATTCCAGTTGTGAAGCACCAATGTGATGTCCAAACTGGGATGAAAGAACTGTTTCCAAGATACCAAAACTGTCACACAAAAGATATTCATTAAAGTTACTCTGATATATAGACTAGAAGGTCTTGTTGCCCACTCATACTTTTAACCAATAGCATTTTGTACCATGACAGAATGACAGGCCAGTTGGTACCAGTAGTTTTTGCAACATTGTAGAGTGGCCCTACCATGGCTCCTATAGCACTGGCCTACCATATCCATTTCATCTCTAATAGAATTCAGCACCATCCATATTTCTGGAAAAAATTGCATGGTACAAATGGACTTATACTATAGTAATCAGCATATAAAGTCTGTCAAAACCTTTTACAAATACAGCATTGCTTTCACACAAAGAAAGAGTAAAAACCATACTTTCCACACGTCAACCTGAAAAAACGTATTCTACAAGGCACGTATTGTATAGAACTTAATTGAAGTTGTGCTAACGTTGGAACGTGTGGTTTCCATTCCAACTCTGGTCGGTTCCCCCTGCCATTTAAATGGCAGAGGCCAAGTGTCCCCCAAAATTGTGGACGGTTGGACCATACCACTGCAAAGCAGGGAGTAACCGAGAAGTTAATAAAGCAACAATCATTATAATATTATGGACTTTACAAACTTAATCTACCACTTGTACAAAATATTTCCTCCATGTCACACCCCACCATGCCTCACTATGCCAGCAGTGCTCTGATGTTCTTGGGCGTGGTCTCATCATTCAGGTGCTTGGTTGTGTACCTGGATAAAAAAAAGCATTGAACTTCATTCTAACTCTGAAAGCAACATTTCTCTTACATCTGTGAATGAGTTTATGCCAGTTAGAACAATCCTGCATTATAAGGAGCTCTTTGGATTGCATACTGATTTTAGACTTGTATGCCCTTTAATGTAAAGCAATTCCATTAATGTAAATACAATGTTAAGGACATATATCCGCTCTATGTCGTAATTCTAGAGCATTTTCTTTACTACCAACGCTGAATTGAATTTGTTGTGATGTTCTTACACCAGTTCAGCCACACATTTGGCTGCAAACTGTGGACAAGTTTCAAGTTGACAATGAACCATTATTACCATAAAATACATGACAGCAGAGCTAAGAAACAGAGGAGATCAAGGGAATGTTCATTAACATACCTGAGGGCATTCAGCAGCCCCTCCACCTTGCTCGCTGGCTGGTCCCTGAGAACCTTGATACATCCCTTCATCTAAAGATAACAAAACAGTTTTTAAACATGTCTTCTGCGAATGTAAGTGGAACTCTTAACTTTGATACTGCCTTAGATGAGTGGTAGCTATTTGGGTGAATTGATAAATTATAGTAGTGCAGATGTGTACAGTTACTATACAAAAAGTCTTAAGTAAAACCCACTATAATGGTTATACAGAGATACATTGTAATTCAAACTTTTCTATTTGCAACCTGCTATTTACAAGAAAAATGTTGAAACTGAAAATATTAACAACTTCCAATTTGGAAAGCTAAGAGAATAAACAAAGGCTTAATCAAGCAGGCTGATTGTAGAAAGCAGAAAAAGGTGACTTGAAAAGTGCTTCTCCATTTTGTATAATATACCAACATAGCCCACATGTACAGTACATATAACAGGGTAACACTTACATCGATACCCGATTTCTTGGCGAAGGCGCCGACAGGATGAACGTGGTCATACAGAATAATGACCCCGACCATCACCCTCAAGCAGAACAAAATGGTCTCCTCATTCTCAAACCGCTGATAGTACTCCCTGGAAAACATACAGGTGAGTTCGAACAGCATCTATTTGCACTTCATGGTTAAATTGCTAGGTGGCATCAATAGCTGCATGTACTTAGCTTATGCACTGGGTACATATCTTTGAATGATCTCTCCTGAAAAATTATTCATGCATCTTCAAACATGTAATTTGTACTTTAACATTCTGCCTGAACTCCACAGATGTGCACAGCAGAGACATAGTTTAAGTAGTACCACAAAATTCCACATATTTTTTGACATAAGAAAGGTACAGATTGCTTTCACAAAGACAGGGCTCCCCACCATTGGACCCCAAGAAGTGTATTCCCCATGTTACTTACGGTGTTTCCAACATGACCTTACACACCGCTGCCATTGTGCTGAGACAGTCAGTTGTGTTCTCAATGGGTAGATGTTTATTCTGAAATATAGCAGAAAACACAAATGCCACGACATAATAATATGTTAGAGACATTAATAAGGTCATCTCAATTCCACAGTTGATAGACAATGCATTAAAACTTAAATGTCTACACTTGCTTAAATTTCCATCTGATACATCTTAGGGTACAACTATTACTGTAAAAATCAATTACGCTGTTGTGGAAAATGTGGTTCTCCAAAAGATAGACCAATTCAGAGTTTTGCTCAGCTTTAGAATATTTACAGTTAGAACCAAACCTTACCTCGGACACAAATCTTGTGGTGGCCTCGCTCAGTGTTTTCAGCATGGGTGTGGCCTCTGCATAGAACAGGGACATTCTGTTGGCCACTTCACTGGACACCTCATACACACTGCCCACTCCATCCTGTGGGGACAGAGGAGGACATTAACATACAGATGGGGGGAACTAGGCTTCTCCCCTGAGGAGTTGCCAAAATTCACTGATTTAAACAAGACAACCACAGTAGCACATGCTGGAACTGCTGACAGGTTTCATTCAGTCATGACACAAAGGCATCACAACTGTTGCACATATTCATTATGTCCTAATGTACTGTAAGATGCAGTTCAAAAATCAATGGCTAGGTGGTGCTGCTCACTTTTTACACAACAGCATTCCATGTACATGATACGATATACATGTACAGTACCTTGATCTGGCTGTTCATCTTCATTCTGCTGAGTGTTCTTCTGTAGTAGCTGAAGTCGTTCTGTATAGATGGGGTCATCATCTGCACAGGGAAAACAGAACAGTGGAAAAATGAAATGAGTCCATGGCTACAGTCTCACCCCACTGATCAAACATACTGTATATTCATTTACTTTTGCAGGAGGGAAAGGACGGTTTTCACGTTAAAAATTCACTGTTGAAACAATTCTCTGTGTAGCCATGCAGCAGTCATACCAAGGAGACATATTCCTGGTGACATGGATTTTCAGGTGAGAGGTCACTAAAGAACTGCAAGAGTTACAGTATTCCCTGAACTGACCTTCAGGTCGTCAAACTTTAAGGTAAAATGTAGAATCTCGGCGAACTGTTTAGCCAGAGCCTGTTGTCTCTCCAGGTGCTGGGTGGGTGTGTACGGCCCCGAACACAACGCCTGCAACAGCTGCGGTAATACATTTTCTGAAAACAAAACCAAAACACATCCATTTCAAACCTGTCTTGCAAAATGTGGAATAAAAGACTTGAAAATACCTGAGTTTCTGGGTATAGAGCATGCCTTTGAACACCAACAGATTTCTTGTACCTTCTGCACAAAGTCATGATATAACATCAGCATTCACTGATCTCTATGGTATTTTATATCATACCCGGGCCGCGATAACGTTCGATAACGGGTTCCGGACCGGTACAGCACAATAGAACCCCACAAGCATGCAGACCTTCATACAAAATATTATAGCTTTCACTAATGTATATGTTACAAAATAAAAATACTTTGTATGCCTTTTTAAAACAAATGCACTATTTTGTGCTTTGTTGATGGCTAACAAGGTGCCAGTTGTGTGACAGGAATCACTATGGACCTACCTAACTCTGTGGAATACTCGTAGTACTTTTTAAGTTTGACAACAGAAGGACAGACAGCTCTCCATGCCTTCTCCTGGAGGTCATCTCTGCTGGGGTTGGATATGGCCTGCGGTGACAGTGACACAAGGTACCAATTGTTAGTAGCTATAGTACAGCAGTAGAACTACAGGTCATGGGATTGATTCCCACATGCAAATGACCCAATGAATTCACGCATGCAGCCACACAGCACACACACAAGCACACATGCATGTACACACACGCATGAACACACAAACACGCATGCATGAACACACTACCAGAAACATGCACACACACACTGACACACATGCACACACATACACATACACACATGCATGCACAGTCATACACACGAACACACTATCAGAAACACACAGTACACACACACACACACACATACTTTCTACATATTGTATAGAAAACAGTATATCAGCCCAGCTTGTACCTCTCTGATCTCATTGTCAGCTCCCTTGTACTGCTGCAGCTCTATCAGCAGCCCATGTGAAGTGGAGAGGACTCTCTCTACCACCTGATGAACTTCATGTTCCGACTCTGTAGGCTGGGCATCTGGAAAAACACACAAACATCTATCATCAGAACTGCATGGGCAGGAGCATGTATGTCTAGGGGGCGAGTAGCCATGTCTTTGAGACTGGAGGCCAGTAGTTAGAACCCTGGCTCTTGTCGATTACTCATGTCTTCTACGCTATCGGAAGGGGTTACAGTCCTGTGTTTGTGGATAGCCACACTATGAGTAGGTTTAAAACTGACTATGATTATCAATAAAGTGTCAATCCCAGTGTGTGTGGGAGTAGGCTGACTGCAAAACTGATATGTTATACCTTGAAACAGTTTGCCATTCATGTGATGCAAACGAACAAAATAATGAATAGTCTCTCCACTACCAAACTGTGCTGACTCCTACCACCAAACACTGACTCACTGTCCTATACATCTGGAAATATACTTGCATCAGTGACCACAGAGCTTGTGAAAACCTTGACCTCTGTTTACACTGTGTTACACAAACTTCTTTGTCCAGGCAAATAGGGCCGGTTGTAGTCAAGTCTCTGTTTAAAGAACCACCAGGTAATGGGAACTGTTGACATAATAAATTGGAGCACACAATTCCTTTTCACAATGAAATCACTGCATCCATGACATTGCACTAGTTGTAGCACAAGTCCAGGGTACATGGACAACCAGAAATTTCATTATTCAATATCACTTTTTGGTCACAAATTGTCTCCAGATCATCATAATCCTTACCGGTACCACTTTAATGAAGGTCCATAGGGCCAATTGGTTGTAGCTACATAGTGTCAGAACTGTGTAGAATTACTACAAGTTTTGGAGACTTCTGAGGAAAGCTCATCAGTGCTGGCAGTTAACTAGTAGAGAGTAGAAGTCCAAACACACAACAATACATAACCCAAAGTCTTAGCTGGGCTGTTGTAGTCTTCCTCAGTATTATACTGTCCTTAGTCAAAATGGTCACTGCAAAAAAGGTCACTACTGTTTTACAGATATACATGTTAACAAGAGAGCTTTAAGACGAGACCAGACTTTACCAGGTTGGCGAAGAGACGAGAGTGTGCCTTGAAAGCTCCCCAGTATAGCAAACTCTACTTGTTGTGTGTATTTTTGAAAATATTAGTCAAAAGAATGACTTACTTTCGAAGTCCAGGAAGATGTCCACCTTTGGTGTGTTATCATCCTTGGACAGCACCTTCAGAAGGTTTCCCATCCCGCCTGAGATACCTGCAGGACACACAGGGACAGCACGGATATAAAACATGCATACACAACAGCACTGAATCATCCTGCAAGTAAACAACTTCACACCATCCATGACATGAAGAAAACATGCATGGAAGTGACAGATATCTCCTGCAATAGACATCTTTTTTTGCTTTATTCCTCCATGCTTTTCTTGTGCAACTCTTTGAAAGTTGCACTCCGGTTGTAGCAGTGCTCTTCTGTTGGGGTATCACTATGTCTTTCCCTGTTACATGTACCGGTATATTTGTAGATTTTAAGCAAAACAGTAACAGCATTGCAATAGCCAAACAGTCAAATGTTTATTTTCAAATTCTTTATCTTTGAATAAAATAATGTCTAATTTATTATATCCAATCAGTAAAAGTAATTCGATGTTGATGTTTAAGAAGAGGAAGAAGAATGTTCATGTGTAAGCCTGAGGTACACAAAAAGGTACAAAACAAATCCACATACAGTAAGCTATTATACATTTACTGCAGAACCGAAAACAATATTACATTTGTATGCATGACCCGACAAGACAAATATGAGTTATAACATTGCTTACACATTGCATACAGAACACACGTATATCATACACCAGCAGTGATGTCTTGCAACACAGTTACGAAAGAGCTAGCGGCATACCTAGGAAAGGATGCAAAACACATGTTCAACAGATCATGCTACATGTAGCTAAGGGCATGTATGATCAGGCACATTTCTTGCACATGGCACAGAGCAGATGTGGGGTAGACAGGGGCAGGCAGCGAAGGTAGAGATCACCAGCACGTCACAAGTCACAGATGGTCCACAATCTTACATGTTCTCCCCAGAAATTCATCTTATCATACACTTTCATAAGTACAGGCAACTATTTTACTAGAAAGGCCACATCTGCAACATGTGTAAATTTCTTCAGCTAAAGTATCTAATACCCAATGGACATATTTAACATTACATGCTTTTATTCAATGCAGTGTACTTAAAGATCATACAACTTCTCATTTACAGGGCCTGTTCTTGAACTAAAACCTTGTGAGGAATTTATCGGTCCGACTTCATGAAATAACAACAGGCCGCTTATGAGCAATGTACATAACTTCTGTCTTCAATCATATTCTGGGGATTTGAGAAAGTGTTGAGTGATCGCTTGGGAGACATTTACAATAAAAGTAATATCTCAAGTCCAATCAATCCCCATGCAAAGTGCAACGTTTTACAGTAATGTGACACTTAAATGAAACATATTTCTGGAGAGAACACTTGGCCAATCCATTCACATGCACAGGAGTCAGGCTTGGAAGGGATGCGTACTTACAGGCACAACTGTCTTTGTCCGTCACGGACATCTCGTAAAAGACATGGGTTTGCTGGGAAACAAAATGGGCAGGACAGAAAAATGATGACATATAGAGAAAAAACAGCCAGCATAGTGTAACACAGGGTGCCACCATCCGAAATGTCGGATGCAATCCCTTTTAGAAAAAAAAAAACTTACAACATGTCCAAGATGGGGCAGACCCTGGGATCCAACCCCGACCACAGATCCATGGAATTTGATCCATATGATGAAGCAGTGAAATCTATAACTACATACACCATATACATGTATCAAGGCAACCTTTCTCATGATTTTCAAACATGCTTATACAACATGTCTTACAGTGATATTACCTTTACCTTATTTCAATCAAAATATTACGATAAAAAATTGATGTAAAATCATACATCAATCAGCATTTCTGTACAATTTTCAGAGAAAAACTTTTAAAATCTTTAATTAGGATAATACTACTTTCAATCTGAAACAAATATATTAGTTGTACACATGTTTCTATATACATGTAATAATAATATATTGCAACAGGCAAAGAAAAGCAGCCAAGTGCGCAGCCCTTTTCCCCAAAGCCCTCCCAATGGACTAACCTGTTGAGGTGCTGCCATGCATATTTAATGCCTATAAATATTGAAGACCATACTGATAGTGTATCAGTAATAGTGCCTGATGCTGCTCAGTGGTGGGGGTGGGTACTTCCTGCAGGAACAACTCAGCCGGATAATTACTTGTGTATACCTCCCCACCTCCCATGGGATGGTCAACCTGTTGCTATTCAACCCCCATCAATTATGAATACATTGTGTTATACACACACATCATGGCATAACTAACAGTTAAGGCAAGCCACATCCTGTATTCATAGATTGTCAACAGTAGCAAAAAAATGTATCAGGGGACTATGAAGGAAACCTTAATCAGAAACATTTATTTTCATTTGTAATTAGGCCACACCAATTTAATTTCTTGGTTAACGGATTTTTCAAGAAAAAAAATGGAGCGGGCGGGCGAAAAAAAAATAAAAATAAAAATTTGAGACTACCTGCCATACAGCCATGTATAAAGCAATCCATTAAGTTAAGTTACAAAATGATATAAGACATTATATTGGACACTTATTGAACTGAAAGGACCATTACTACATGAGCCACTTCTTTTACATCCCTTTACAATTATTCGTATTATTTTGCAAGATACACATCTTTACTGTATGAACAACAAACTGTCAGTTGACAAGACTCCGATCCAACTGGTTTCACTTTTATTCATCTTTCAAAGTTCCAAAGAGTGGTTTAAATCAGGGAGCTCTGTTCAGATCCCATTGTTTTCTTAGAGTTGAGGGAACACAGCTTACCACTGGGCTGGGCATTCTATTGTGTCTGGCTGATATGGAAGTTATTTAGAGCTTGAAATTTACAATATCCTAAATATATGCTTTAGACAAATTTCCAGGAATGTTTAAAAGTTATTGTCAAAAGAATTTACTACTTAAACAGATATTTTATTTCTTTTTTTTATCTTTCCCCAATTCCCAAATACTACCGGTAGTATCCATTTTATATTTCCCATTATACACTTTAGGTATGCTACAGCTACATTATACATAGCCAAAATTCAAACAAATAGCCACATTGACACACTCTTCAAGTTGCCACAAATTCAATGGTCTAGGGTTTCACAATAAAGTCCTTGATGTATGGGGATTTTTTATTTGTAGGGGGAACCATTTTATTCAAAAATTTAGATATAATAATTAATGCATTATTTGCAATTGTACTCCTGTTTATAGGTATCTAAATAAGATGTAACATTGTTAGAATGCCACAAGCACATGTAGTATTTTTCACAGAGTAACTTCTATAATTAAAGGGACCTGTTTCCCCCTACTCGAAGTGGACTCTTCCGACCGTGAGAAAAAGTTGCTTTAGTGAATGGACATACGTGCATGTGCATGGAGGACTTTTTACTTTGCCAAATTCCCATGTTTGTGGTAGGATTTTGTACTTTTTGAGAGTAATACAGTTTGTGATGCCAGAATACATTGTTATGTCGTGTTATTTTTACATATTCCCTGGAAAATAGATCGTTTTGAAGGTGTGTGTGCATGTGCCGCCCAGGCCGAGTTTATACGTTGGGCCGATCACTTTTAACGCCCTTTACTAGCACGTTTCCGACACAATACGTGTTTCAAAATATAATATATATCTAAAAGGGAGATGATATGTTGTTACAGGCACGATGACTCAGTAAATCTGCCGTACGTTTGTCGTCAGTGAAGTTTTGTCCCATGAATGGTGACATGACATGTGCAAAGGGGGTGGGGGGCGAGTTCTATATCAAAAGAATTTGACGAACTTTTGAAGAGGCAACCTAGCTTTCCAAACAAAATTGCACTCAGAAAAACGTTTCTGCCTTAAAGCAATGTATTTTTAATGCTGTTAACTATGCCCAAATTTTGAAAAATTACAACGTACCGGGTGGATTTTGGGGCCCCCGATTCGGGACCCGAGAGTATGGATTTTTGTTCTGTTTTTATTTTTATTTCATTTTGGCAAAAAAACGAAGCGGCGAATCCGTTAACCAAGGAAATAAATTGGTGTGGCCTTATATTGCAATAAAAATAATTGCATGATATTGTATTCTCGAATTGTACATTGATTTTCTCCAGGCAAGGGTAGAAAACAATGTGGCAAGGAAATAGGAATTCAGTTAATTTACCACAATGCAAAAAAATTAATTACCAGTAATTTGACTAAATATAAAGAGTTACAGAAAAACACATCAAGAATAAACAGGGTGAGCGGGGTCTCTTTCCAGATTGAATACATATATATACATCAAAAATACTACTAGAGGGTTTCTATCAAAATACCATACATTTTTATGCCAAAAAAACAGTTACTCAAGCAACTGGATGTGATTTTTGAAACGGTCAGACGATTTCATCTTGGCATTCTGCTACGAAATCTGACTTACCT